CATAAAGTAATCTTGATCTGATAGTCGTTGATTGACAACTTGCCCCAACTGCATCAACATTTCACTGATAAGCAACTACAATTGCAACACTGTTGCGATAACAGCATATCTCCTGCTGCTTGCAGCCGCTGCATTTCCTCACCCTGATACAACGCGCCTACTGAAGTAAAGCACGAACCAATCTGCCATTCCCAAATTTGCTTCGTTCATCACTTCAACAACCCGATAACCCGAGAAACATGTCGACTGTCCCGAGAACTGTGAACGCCTACCCGAGCCGTCGGGCAAGACTGTGCCATGCCAATACGAATCTCGCCCGCTCAGTGAAGAAGACGTGGAAGTCAAGGTATCTGCGGGTCGGACATTCGCCACCTCGACAGCGGCTGGAAACCAACGATGTATCCATGTGTGTTTGGCCACGAGATCATCGGTAAGTGACTGTTGTTGGTGCCAATACCAAGCACCTTGTCGTGGGTGACCGTGTCGGTGTCGGAGCTCAAGTTTGGGTATGTTTTACCAAAGACCCTAATAGGCCATGTAAGGAGTGTGCTGACAGTGAAAACACCTTCTGCAACCGCTCCGTGATCACTTACGATGCCCAGTACGAGGACGGTTCCATGGCGTACGGTGAATATGCAGATACGTCCGCGTTGACAGCAACTTCGCGTTCAAGATCCCCGACAACATTCCGTCCGCTTCCGCTGCACCGTTGTTGTTGTGCGCTGGTGTGACCGTCTTCACGCCCTTGAAGCGTAACGTGAAGCCTGGTGACCGTGTGGGTGTCATCGGTATCGGTGGACTGGGGCCATCTCGCTATCCAGATCATCCGTGCGTTGGGTGCTACCCCAGTGGCATTCTCGCGATCGGCCAACAAGGAGAAGGAGATCCGTGACCTTGGTGCCAAGGAATTCTACAACTTGAGTGACCCCGAGGATCAGGAGAAGGCTGCGAACTCAGTCAACGTGTTGTTGTTGACGGCTGATGCCACTAACTTGCCGTACAACACGTACTTGACGCTCGTGAAGAAGCGCGGCACGTTCATCATGGTTGGTGTCCTTAATGAAGAGGTCAAGTTTAAGCCAATGTTTGTGGTGGCCAAGGGCATCCAGTGGGTGGGAAGCCTCATCGGAAGAATCCAAGACATTTAGGACATGCTGGCATTGTCGTCAGAGAAGAGTGTGCCTGCTATCGTCCAGCAGATACCCATGAGCAAAGTGAGCGGAGGCATCGCAATGATGCAGGAAGGGCGTGTTCGATACCGTGTTGTGCTTGAGAATTAAGTAGGTCAATGCCTTCGCACAGGAACATGATCAAGATGATTCTAGCTTAACTCTCAAGTTCTTTCTTGGCTGCCTCTTACTGCAATTTGTCTAATATCCTCTCACTTTCGCTAACCCATAGAACACTCCACTCGTGTTCTTCACCAAGTCTCGTGGGCTATCGAACTCCACCACACGACCATCACTCAATACCAGGATACGATCCAAATCCAGCACCGTGTCCAACCGAGGTGCAATTGCCAACACTGTCGCGTCCTAGAAGTCCCGATTGATCATATGCTGCAACTCCTTCTCCGTCTCGTGATCCATGGACGCCGTCGCCTCATCCGCCGCGATGCGGCTCCGAGTCAGTAGAGCGCGAGCCATGCACAGCAGCTGCCGCTCGCCCACATTGAAGTTCTCGCCGTTCTCACTCAACTCGTACGATAGCTGATCTTCCAGTTCCAACACCTGCGTCTTCATATTCACCTTCTCCATTGCGTTCACAAGGTGGCAAAATGTGAAGAAGCCTGCCACCAATAGACTTCCGATGTCCAATGGAATGTCAATTTCCACTGCAGAAATGTCTCCTTCAAACCGATCCAGAATCCGTCCGATCGGGTTAGCGTCGAAGAATCTTAATGGTACATACAGCAAAGTACGTGTAAGCAGACGAAATAGCTCCCGAGAAGCACAGAGTCCAGCAGTAGCCACCGCCACAGCACGCGCAAGCACCATCAAGGCACTGCCTCCACCCAGTAATGCGTAGATTGTCATGTTATACTGCGTTCGTGAGGCATCGTACGTGTTGTCCTTGCGACGAAACGAGTTCGAGGAAGTGTAATTTCTTGCCGCTCGATAGAAATTTGACCTTCTGACGCTGAAATCTTGCAACTCGCTACGCCAGACTCGATAACATCCAGGTCTTGAGTGACAAGAAGCACCGCCTTCTCTGCTGGCAGCCCACAGATACACTTGCTGAAGATCCGCTTTGTACCACAGCGTCCACTGCTGCGAGAGGTGAATCCAAGATGAAAA